TTGCTCGCCAGAGGCGTTGCGTTGGGAACGTTAAATCTTTCTAACATAGATTGGAGAAATTTAGTACGCTATGTGTTATGGAATTTACGATAGACAATTTCTAACACCAGAAGATCGAAAATCCTTTGACACTACCAACGAATTATAATTATTGTTTAACAAATTTTCTTGTATTTAAAAATTTGAATGAATTCTTTTCGATTCTGTTGAAAATTTCATTTTGTTTTCGTATTAAAATTACGTACAAACGAATTTTCATAATGTATCGTTGATTTTTCAATTTATCATTTTTAATTCATTACGTTGTCAATTTAAATAATAATTAAATAAAATTGTTATTTACTTGATTATTTAATTTATCTTTTGTGGATTGAAATTATGATTAAACGTAATTCTCATCCCGAAGTATTTTAATCCGTCCTTTTGTCTTGTTGTTTTTTTAAACGTATGATATTTCATTTCACATATTAGAAGAAAAATTCGAAATGTATTATAGGGGCTTATCACGTACAGCTAGTTGTAACAGGAAGATTGAAAATCCTTTGTTGATGGGATGAGTTATTGGAAAAATTAAACCCCCTTCGTTGGGATATCGTTGTTTTTACTTCAAATGTTTCGTATCTTGTCATGCAATTTTTCATTTCTATATAATACTCAGTAATATTTTATATTTGGACATTACATAATTTATTAAAAACAAAAAAAAATGAAAACCCATACTTAGTCAGGTATAATATTAAAGCACTATTAATCATTAAAAAATAGTATAATTTTTATTTCTATAATATAATATATTTATTAAATAGAGAATATGTGTTTACTATAGGTATCTTAATGGTTAATATAACTGACAATGTATAATAACTTTTTGCGTTACGAATAAAAATATAATATAGAAGGAATAAAAATTTTTGGTTTTGGTCTCGGTGTACTAAAGGAGAATTTGTATGGTCATATTGTGAAGTATGAAATCTGTCTATGGAATTAACGAGTGGCAGTTTTAACACAAAAAATCGAGAATCCTTTGAGGATAGAAAAGTTATGGTTAGGAAAAAAAAAAAAAAAAAAGAAAAAGAAAGGGAAGAAAAAATTGTTCATCAACGGATATTGTTATTTTACTTTGGACGATCGTACCGCGTGTAATAAAATTTTTTTCATTTCCCATACATCGCAAGAGGAAAAAATTTCAAATTTTACCGTCTCATATTGTAAAGTACAAGACCTATCCGTGCATAGAAAAGAAGAACATGATGAATACCGTCGTCTGGTATTGTATAAAAAGGTCGGTTAATGTTACAAAGAATATTTATTCGTTCGTTTTCTTCTTTTTTCTATTTCTTTCTTTCTTTCTTTTTTTTTTTTCGTCATTTTTTCCTTCACCGTGGGAAACGATGCGTTACGTGCGAGTTTGCAGGAACATAGAAAGTGCATGCAACTGAGAGCTTTATTGTGAGAGATTATCGATCGTTTTTACGTCATGCAAGTTTCATTTCACAGATAGATTAGTCGACGTAATCGCATCAGTTTTCCTAGTATACGTTTACTAAGATTAACGCATAAATATGGGTTAATTCTCACGGAAAGGTCGAGCATGAATGCGAAAGTGGATTTTATATTATACGAGTGTTATATTTTCAAACGTTTCATCGATATTTATGTCGTCAATTTGACGACACGTTTAAACGATTGATTATATTATTTACTCTTTTGTTTTTATCTCGTTATCGTTATTAATATTGTTTTTTTTTTTCTAAAATTTTTCTTACGTTCGCTAACGTTAAATATATAAATATGTATTTTTAAAAACAAGAAAACATTTCGTTTTAATATTTCTACATAAAAACAAACAGTTCTAGTATTATTTCATATCGTTCGTACTTCATATTAAACGATATTTCATCATTAATTTAAGCAATAATATACAAATCTAAATAATATATACCTTTGGAGATACAAGAGGATCGTCGAGTTATTGGATGAGAAATTTCCGAAATGGTTATACCATTGCTAGAACGTAACGTAACGACTCTTGCAAATTTTCAAGGTTCCTGTTCGGAGTTTTAACGATACCCCCTCCTTTCCCACCCCCTTACTTTACCTTACCTTACCTTATCACCACCCTCTTCACAACTCTGTCCGTTGGGACCGAGTGAAAAATATACACACACATCTATATCTATATCTATATCTATATATCTCGAGAGTCATGCATTTATCAACGGCCCTGTAGGAAAGAAGGGGTGGTAGGAAATAGGATGGGGGTAGGAAGGAGGGAGAGAAAATTATGCGAGCTTACACGATACGTCCACCATAAGATTCATCCGTCGACGCACACACACACATACACACACATACACATCTACACTGGTATATGGGCAGCACGCGAATCGTGAACCTCGTCAAAAACTCAGACTTTAGTTTAAATTTACATATATATATATATATATATCTATTACAAGACTTGATTTTAAGTATTTGATACTAAATTTACGAACACTCTTTATGTAGAGTTATTTATATCGTAAATGGCCTTAGATAAACGGTCCTGTAAATNTATATATATATATATATATTTTTAATTATTATTAAATGCGGGCTATAATAATTCATAATATCAGACGATAAGGATAAAACGATATTTATATTTATTATTATTCTTAACGATAACGTGTTTCTATTTTTTTTTTATTGTATATATATAATTATAACATTGTTAAAAAAAAAAAGAAATAGAAGCAATTAAAATTTTATTCGAAGCATTATGTGACACGTAAAATAATTAGATTTGTGTTAACGATCAGACCTTGGAAATACGTCATTTAATATTGTTCAAGTCCTCTCTCTCTCTCTCACTCTTTCTCTCTTTTTTGTTTGGAGCCAAAAACAATGGAAAATTCGTTCGTAATGATGATTTACATCGAGATTAAAATACTCGGATAATTCCTATGCAGATTATTTGAATTCTTGAAAGAAGAACCTTCGACTCCTTCTCCTTCACCCCGCTCTCTCTCTCTCTCTCTCTCTCTTTCTCAAGGAGAAAGAAGAGGAAAAGGTTTCATATTTTTCTTACCATGGAAACTTTGACTCGCCTTCCTCGTTTGCTCCATTTCAGTTTTTAATAGTCGGCCGTTTTCTTCCGGCAAAGTCACATTATAACCGATGATTTACGATGAAACGAGCGAGGTCTCTTTATCTCTCTCTCTCTCTCTCACTCTTTAACTAAATTTATAGACGCCTAAGTTGTTTCTCTAGTATGGAATGGGATTAATTGGGCCGTTACATTAATCATATTTCATCAAGCTCTTGTGATCTATTGCCCCCTTACACAACAAACGCAGCTTTCCTGAACGCATTAAGCAACCGAGCTAATCGATATTCACGTTAAAAGAGAGAGAAAGATGAAATGGATGCTTCTGCGGTAAAATGCCTAAGTATATTTCCTCATATATCAATTTTGAGAGAGAGAGTGAGAGAGAAAGAGAGAGAGAGAGAGAGAGAGAGAGAGAGATAGAGAGATATGATCCTTTATGGAGGGAAGTATACATTTTTCTATGAATACACCTTTGATGCTGATCCTCAGATTAAAATTCGGTCTACCGTAAGCCGCCATTTTTTTCTTTTTTTTCTCATTTTTTTTTCGTCGACGTTACATTTCCAGAGGAGAATAAGTCTTATCGTAAATCCTTTTTTTAATTATTTTTGTTATAATAATAATAATAATAATAATAATAATAATGTATCATTATCACGTATTGTCCATTATAATCTACCACACACGAGAATATATTATAAAACAATAAATTTCGTTTAAATGTTATTCACACATTTATTTTTATGATTAATGACAATTTTATTTATTACCTCATGAAATTTAAACGAATCGAAAGAAATCTAATCTTAAAAGTATAAAACAAGATGGTATTTTTGCACGCGCATGCGGATTTTCTTGTCTGCCGAAAAGGGGTTTAACCGTTGGCAGTGTTTTACGTTCTGCTTTTCCAGCTGCATGCTCGACTGCAGTAGAAGTTTGGACAGCTTCCAGAGTTTCGCGTCTGATTCCGTTTCGGCGCGAATTTCAACGCGAGACTTTAGTTTCGTCCTTTGGAGGAGTAAAAGTCTAGTACCTTTACTCCTTGAAACAACGAACACGTCCATTGCTTTCTCATTTTTTTTTTTATATCTTTATCTTTTATTGAAACACGAGTTTTTGCACATTTCTTTTTAAAAATGAGGACTTCCGAAATTAATTCTTTTTTTTTTTTATTCTGTTTTTTCTTTTTTATTTATTTATTTTTCGCGTTTTATTATTGTAATGAAAATTGTAAATATACGAAGAATCATTCATGAACGGATTTTTTCGTTCTTTCGGAACTGTCGAAAAATATATTCGATTCGTTCTTTGAATTTTAATGTTGAAAAAATATGCGGAAAATAATAAAAAAAAAAAAAGAAGGTAAACTAAACTTTTGCTCGTTCGCCAATATTTTTCAACAAGATATTTCTATTTTTCTTTTTTGTTTCTATCGTAACACAGAGTAAACTAATATTTTACAAACGCGAAACCACCTTACTTTTGTTGTTTTCATTTTTGCCTAAAAATTGTAAAGGGGGAAAAATAAAATCGTCGATATTCGAAATTACGAATGTAATTTCTACAATTATTCATATTTTTCATTCAATTTACATTCATATTATAACAAACACGTATAGGACAACTTTTAGCATAGCAATCAAAGGGTTAACCTAAGTCAATTCGAAAACAGTACTGTGAAAGAAAAATGCACGATCGTAACTTCGAGTAACAAAATTATAATGAAAATTTGAAAGTGTAAGTAAGTAATAAAAAAGAGGAAGTATAAAAATAAAATAAGAAGGATAGAGTGGGTGTTGTCACAGGAGAAGGAGGAAGTGGGGGTGGGGTTGAGGTTGAGGATGGGGATGGAGGAAAAGAAGAAGAGTCTTTCAGAAGAAATACTTTATTTTCTTTTGGTTTCATACAGTTACGAAGCTGCGGGAGCACTGGGACGAAACGAATTCGAAGGTGATGCAAAGGAAAACGCAGTTGGATGCAATGCTTGGTGATAGTCAACGATACGAGGCTAAGAGAAACGAGGTGGAGGTCTGGCTGGCGCGAATGGAAACTCGACTGGAAAGAATGCGGGCTGTCGGCCATACGGCCGACGTTCTCGAGGCTCAACTTAGAGAACAAAAGGTATGTGTGTATCGCGAAACCGTCGTCTTCTTTCTATTTAATTTCTTCTCTTCTCGGTTATTCCCCTTCCCCCTTATTCCCCCTTCATCCCCCTTCTTCACCCCTTTCTACACCCTTTCTTCTTTTTTTCCTTTCTTTCCTTCTTCTTCTTCTGCTTCATTTTATTTTTCTGACACTCGCGGTTGTTATACTCGAAAGAAGAAGAAGATGATGGGTCTTGCGGTAAAAAGGGTAAATGTAGTTTTTTTTTTTTTTTTTTTAATTTATTGGAAATAAACGATGAAACTTATGGATTTATATAAAAATAATTGACATCGAATTTCTTTTTTTATATCAACACCAGCCCCTTCAAGTTATTGCAGGACTCTTTTCTTAAGAACTTTTTAAACGTTGATATATTCCACTTGTCATTGTTTCTTCTTTTTTATTTCTTTTTTTATTTTTCCACATTTGTCTTCCTCCAACTATATCCTACTCTTTCGGATCCTACTTTTTCTTATATCCCATATAAACCCTTTTTACGTTATCTCACGAATACGATCGTTCTTCACTTCTAAATCTATTTCTACCTACCTACGTATTTAAATATTTAAATATACATTATTAGAATAAATACGCGTTTTGTCATATGCTGTTTTTTTTTCTTGGATCCCATCGATTCGCTTTCGTATATAAGTTTATTTTTTGTAATATAAATCGTAATAGAAACGCGTTTTCATAATTTATAACGTCTCTTTAAAAAGTGATCGATAAAAATCCGATCGCGCAAAATTCATAGCGTTGATTCTCGTTCGATAGCAAATGGCATGCATCCAAATCGATATGATGTCAGTCGATCGAGCGAATCGAAGGAAAAAGATGAAACTTCGGTTGAAGGGTTTTCACGAGGTGGAGTTTGAGGGGGTGGGAAAGGGAGCATTTGGGTAGGGAAAGGAAAGGGATGGGAAGGAGGAGTTGAGATACGCTTATAAAACTTGCCTTCTACCCTGCAGATTTAACTTCCTCTTAAGTTATCGGTGCTCTCGAGTAGGAAAGGACTTTCGTCTAACTCGATATCTCCGCAGCTTGAATTAGATAGAAGAAGTTTCTCATTTCTCGTGAAATAGAAAAGACTAGTGCGAGGTAGATGACAAGTACAGAAGGGTTGGGGGATGGGTGGGAAGAAGAAGAAGAAAAAGAAGAAGAAGAAGACGACAACGACATCAACGTTTCATTTCTACATAGATCCTTCCCCCTTTTATTTCAGTCCTTCCACGCGGAATTGCATCAGTACAAACATCAGATCGAGCTTTTCAATCAGCTTACTCAAAAGTTGATAGCAGTATATCAACAGGACGACACAACTCGCGTTAAGAAGATGACGGAAACAATTAATCAACGATACAACAATTTAAATACCAGGTAATGGAAAACAAATTCATATTATTTGATATGTTTGCGATAATATTTTTTTCAAATTGTATTAACAATTATTTTTATTCTATATTAATTAGAATTATTATCCTGTATAATATCACAATGAAAAATTATTTATAATCTAAGAGTCGAATAATTAAATTAGACTGACAGTGGGCTAATAATATAAAGATAAATCACATGTTGAAAAAATATAATAATAATGAAATGTAATCTTATGACCTAATTACATTTATCATTTTATTATCCTTGTCACGTAGAATATATACGAAATTCGTGATATAATATAAAAAAATGTCCTTACGCGCCCTATCACAATCCATATTTGGTTCGAAATCAGGTTGGTAAAGGTTCAACGACAATCTACTTGTTTTTTCTCCGTTCTCGCGCAGCATCATCAATCGAGGAAAACTACTGCATTCAGCGATGAACTCCCTCCACAACTTCGACCGGTCTTTAGACAAGTTCTTGGCCTGGCTGAGCGAAGCCGAGTCTTCGATGGAAGGATTGGAAGCGGAAGCTGATCGGCTTGGTGGACGACGGGATCAGGGTGCTCTCAGAAGACCGCAACATCAGCTCAAGGTAAGAGATTTATAATTGTTATAATAATTAACAATTTTTTTTTATAGATGAAATATACAGCAAAAATTATTTTAGAATTCTAACGTGTCGTTTTTTGACGAAATCATGCGAAATTAAAATATTCATATGTTTTAATTTTCTTTTTTTTTTTTTCTAATAATTTTTCTTACATTTATTATAAAAATCAATTATACATAGGACAGATAATATATACTGTATACTATATATTATTTTGTTGATAATAGAGAAATTCTAATATTACTTTAACGAAAACATGTAAAACAAATTTATTATATAAACATGGATAGTAATTAATAATTTTTGAATTAGTTAAAGTGACTTTTAGGTGAATCCAACTTTAGTTACGTTTACGAATTGAGGGTTATCGTGGTTTCAACACGGGGTTCGTAACATTACAATTAAATGCAAGAAGGAAACATGTAGAAATGGAATGGAGGAGAGAGTAAATTGATTGAGTGTACCGTTGACTAGACAGGAATGGTCAATAGAAGATAGCATATTAAATCTGTTCGGATCGTGTCTTGCTTGGATATGGTGTTCGCCCCTACAGAAATATTGTTTACGAAAGCCCCATTCCCCGAATCGTTTCTACTACGCTTGATCAACTTCATTTTCCAATTCGTAACGTTCGGGATGTGTGGAATGTTTTCGAATAACGAATAACCGCATCAATGATACGTTTTCGCGCGTATCGTGGCTCTATTAGATTTTAATATCATGTTTACCGTGTTATATTAGCATAATCGAGGAAATAAATTTGTATCAATTTGCATCATAATGGAAAACAAATTCATATTATTTGATTTGTTTGCGATAATATTTTTTTCAAATTGTATTAACAATTATTTTTATTCTATATTAATTAGAATTATTATCCTATATAATATCACAATGAAAAATTATTTATAATCTAAGAGTCGAATAATTAAATTAGACTGACAGTGGGCTAATAATATAAAGATAAATCACATGTTGAAAAAATATAATAATAATGAAATGTAATCTTATGACCTAATTACATTTATCATTTTGTTATCCTTGTCACGTAGAATATATACGAAATTCGTGATATAATATAAAAAAATGTCCTTACGCGCCCTATCACAATCCATATTTGACTGAGAAATGAGAGTTTTTTTTTTTAATGTTGAGTCGGAGCTTTTTTCTCGGAGTTTTATCAGAATGAAACGGGTTTTCAATTTCCAACGACCTTTTCATGAATATATTTTTTTTTTTATTTTTTTTTTTTTGTGTAAAAATACTTTTCTGATTACTTTCAAATATATTTTTTAATTAACAATACAAATTCCCATAGAATTTTGTTACAAATCAAATACGTTCAGTTATAAGAATTATTCAATATCGACGATGTCAACGTGTACAAATAATTGTAAAAAATTAAATTTTCATGAAAGCAACCGACAACGACGACGATTCGAATTACGAGACGAATGAAATATCACGAATCTGACTGAATACTAAACGATATCGATAAACGAGAAAGATTAATAGTTATCTTTTCTACGCGATATCTTCTTTTTTTAAATTCAAAATATCAATGAACGTGACGTAAAACAAAAAAAAGCCCCCAGCCCCTAAAAAAAAAAAAAAAAAAAAAAAAAAATTAAAAACAATATTTCATTGGCAAATGAAAATGTAATTATTCGACGAATACGTGTTCGAATAAAATACGTAGGAAGGTAAAATAGAAGATGAGAATAGTGATTTGAATGCTAGGAGGTGTGTACGTTTAACGATTGGATAACCGATTGAAATCAATCGTACGAATAAATCATGCACGTCGGGAACATTACGAACGTCGCATCGAGCTCACCGTAATCCGGTTCTCTTTAGTCGATGCTTGAATCACGTGTACTTCGTAAAAAATTATAGATCACGATCTCGTACATACACATACACACACACATACATACTCATCTAAACCTAACACGTATTTCCAAGCGCAACGGATGTGTCAACTAATATTTTTCTCCAATTTCTTTTCTTTCCTTTCTCCCATCTATTCATTTTATTTATTTCTTTATGCATTTTTCACGTGTGTCTGTTAACCGAACTCATTGGAACGACGTATTTTTTTGACTTTGAAGGAAAATGAGATTTCTAGAAGGAGAAAAGATATTAAAGTACGAGGAAATAACAGGAAAACTGTAGAACAATCTTTTATATATTATTATTTTTTTTTTTTTTTTGCTTTCTTCCCTTTTTCATTATTTTTTGTTTTTTAATCTATTTCATTCTCTTTCTCTCTCTCTCTCTCTCTCTCTTTCTCTCTTTTCCGTTTATTGCGGCAGAAATTTTATTTATGCGCTTATTTACATGCGACAATAGAAATGGAAATGGGGCAAACGTTAAGGGGAGGCACGAAGATTACCTTTTTCCACCTTCTTTACCACCCCACCACACCCATCCCCCCTCCTCCTCCTCCTCCTCTTCCTTCTTCTTCTCTTCTATTTTATTCTTTTTCTTCTTTCTATTTTATTCTTTCTCTTTTTCCTCGAAGCTTTTCTTTCCCTACCCTCGTCGTAAAAAATTTTCTTCGTTTGCTTTTCATCGCGTCGTTTCAACTGGCGTTGAACGTCAAACGTTATTCTTAAGTTGTATCGAGTGATCCTCGAAAAAACGTTAGGAGAGATCGAATAAAGCGTTCCCAATGCTTTATAAGAGAGAGAGAGAGAGAGAGAGAGAGAGAGAGAGAGAGAGAGAGAGAGAGAGAGAGTTTGATTGTGAATATAATACTTAAAGATATGGAAAGGATGAATAAAAAATTAACGAAAGCAATTTCCGTATAATAATAACATTTTAACGATGCGCCTGGCTCGGCTTCCTTTTAGGTGAAAAAACCCTCTTCTTTTATTTTCTATTTTTTTTTTTTATTCTACGACCTATTTTTTCAACGTTTAAACACGGAACGGATATTGAACTCCCACTCGATTGGTCAGCGGCTATCTCTTCTTTCTTTCTTTCTTTGTCCTATACTCTCGAACCTACCTATCCTTTTTTATTTCTTTTCTTTTTTTTTTTTTATTAATCAAATATATTACCACACGAATTAATTTTAGTTTTGTTCAGTCTAGTTGATTGCTTAGACGTATCGATTTAATTCACTTTGGAACATTTTATTTCCGATCGAAACGATATCTTCTCGAAAATTAAATGAATCACAACGATACGTAATTTTATTTATTGATTATTTAATTGTAATATAATCGATTTTTTTGTTGTTGTTTTTCTCTTTCTTTCTTTCTTTCTTTCATTTACAATTATCTTTTTATCCGTGTATTTTTATTAAATTCAATTATAAAGCGTAAGAGAAAAAATAATTACGAGTAATGAGATTAATTTTATATACGATCGTTTTAATTGTATGTGTTAGAATTATTACAATATAATATAATTCGTTATTTCCGGGATATATTATAAAAATGCGTATTAATCTTTATTCGTTTTTGTCGTGTTAGGAAAAGTAGAGGTTGGTGGGTTCGTGGTAAAGGGTTTCTCAGAAGACGAGTGTGGAGAAGGCCGCGAATACGATCGAAAAAGGGAGGGTGGTCTTCCACGACGGGCTCGAATTACCCTCGAAGGGGTTAAGTACGCGGAACGTGTCGAACAGAGTTCGCTCCGACACTTGGTACAAAGTACCTAGTCATTCTCCCTACGGGTGCACATATTATACATATACATATACATATATAATTTTTTTTTCTCTTTTTCTTTTACTTCACTCAATAGACGAATACTAAGGGTCAAAAAGAAAAAAAAAAAGAATAAAGTAAAGTAAAGTAAAGTAAAGAAAACGTTTTGAATGGTTGCGCGAGAAATCTGTACTCATAAATTTTGTGTTTTCCCTTTATTTTGCTTTCCCCAAATAGGGTATTAAAGCCAACAATAGAAGGGTAGCTGGGTTCGGCAAAAAAATATCATATAAGAAAGCGTTTGTTTTGTATTGTTACAAAAGACTGTTTTGCATTTATTCTTTTTTTCTCTTTTTCAATTAATTAATTTTAATTTCATCAATTGTGGATTAAATATATAATAATAAATCATATTTTTTTGAATTTTAATATTTAACCATATATGTTATATTTATTAATACGAATTAATTATTTCATTGATATGCACGACACAATATTTGTATTTTGAATAATGTTAATAACGATTGGCATGCGTAAAATATATTAAATAATAATTCGGAACAATTTCGTCTATTATCGAATAGATTTGTTGTTTCATTTTAAATAAACGGATATAAACAAGTAATCAAATTTAATTTTTACATTAAAAGGATAAAATTTAAATATATATATATGATCTATTATAAATGATTAATTAGATACGAGGTAGAAGGTGGTTGTAGGTTCGTGATACGCAAAGTGCTACTTCAGAGATAGCCTCGAGATAAATGAAAGTATCGAGAAGATATAAGTTTCTCGAGAGTAAGTAAAGTAAGGGGGTAAAAGTAGGAAGGAAAGTGGAGAGATGATAGAAATTAGGTCAGTCAACGGTTAGTGATGGTGGTGGTGGTGGTGGTGGTGGTGTTGCTGGTAAAATATCCATATAACCTTCGGTCGTCGTTTCGTTGTGAAGGAAATACCGTTTATTTAGGCTTATTCTTGTCCGTAAGGTATATTATCGGAAGGTTGATGATGCCCTTTAGAAATCATTTGAACGGAAAGTGGTCTTTCATCGAGCGTTGGCGCGAATAAGCGTACGGTTAGGGTTGCGCTTAGCGTGACCTGAACTTTCGTTTCGTCCACTATGTATGTATGTACGTATGGTGGTTAGACGAAGTGAGGCAGAGTGAGAGAGAGAGGTGAGTTAAAAGAGGGAAAAAGGGAGGAGGGTAAAATAACCGGATGGGATGGGATGGGATGGATAGGAAGGGAAGGTAAGGGTGAGGCTGAGGGGAAGGGAACTGGGAAAAGGGACGACGAGTAGCCCTTTTCTCATATTCATGGTAA